AGGGGTTTGGCTTGCGCTCCCTCATGCCCTCTTGCTTTCCCGCCAGTCTCCCTCCCCTCACTGTCACATCGTTCACTCTCAACGTGTCCACTTGAGCTGCAAAAATGGGCCAAGGCACAGAAAATCAGCTCAGCTGCTGCCCAGGCTGTACAAGCTCCCAAAGCCTTCCCTTCAGCACTGTGCCACTCGCCTCCCAGCCTCCCTGTTTCCTCACACCCCTTTTCCTGCCCTCCCTGCCACAGCTCACCTGAGGTAAAACAAGATGGACGCCCTCAGAGGCAGGGCTGCTGTGGTGCTGGTTGCAGGGTGGATGATGCTGGAGCCAGCTGAGAAAAATCTTCATATGAGCCCTGGACATTTGCCTGACATCCCGTTGTACTGGGATGAGGAGGGATTTACCAAGGAGCTCATTGCTGTGGCGAGGCTTGGGAGCTTGGTCACTTCCATCTACCATACTGAGAAGCTTTAGGCAAGCTGGTTCTTTCTTCTGTCTCAATGTCTCTGAAAAATGGGAACAATTATGCTAGCCATCTGTGTGAAACATTTTGGTTGATAAGAAAAAATAGTCGCCTTAGCAGTTCTGTAGTTCCTCATGATAAGGCCCTTTTCTTCGATGTTTTCCACCCATTAAAATTTAAGCATTTTCTCAGATCTGTCTATAAAAAGAATGGGAATTATGTAGTAATATTCACTCTGCAAATTGCCCCCCCTGGGTGCTCATTCTCTGTGTTAAACAAAAGGCGATTTACAGTTATGTTAATCAATCAGTATTATTTCATAGGCAGGAAGAACACACAGGACCTTGCTGTATACCCAGCGGGTTACCTGCTGCCCATGGGCACTCTATTGGCCTCAGCAAACTTGTGAATGGACCTGGGTCATGCTCCCAGGTGACTGTGTGGAAAAAACTTGTTTGGTTCTGTAACAGTCTCTTCCTAGAGATTTTTACTTACTCGTATTAAGGTTTTCCTCTTAACATTTTTCAGTGAAGAACGCCTTTCCCACATATCACAATATTTTGACATTTTTCATATTTTTTTCTCTTCATACAAGTTAGCATCAGGAAATAGTATTTTGCAATAAATACAACAGTATATTTAACATTTTTAAAGAGATGTGCTTTTTCTCTTAGGTTCAGTCAACTCCGTCTTCCACAATGATGGGAAAGGTGCCTGGAACACAGAAGGTATTAACACTGGTAGGAAAAGAAAGCCCAAATACCACATTATGGGACATGCTGGGAAACACCGTGTAAAGATACTTCATGGCATTAGCTCAG